CTGCAGCGATGGCTTTCGGTCTTTCTCTTCAGGGTCCGTTAAGTCCAAACGTTTTGGCTCATTTTTGAAGAGTGATAGCACTTTTCCTAAACAGTTTAATATTTTAAAAACAGGATGGCAGCAAAAAAAACCCCTGTCACGCAGATACTCTGTTTTTTTCATCTTCATGCATAATTCATTAACATACAGTGCTTTTTCTTTTTCATTTTAATTTGTCATTTCCCTGTCTTTCCCGTGCTTTATGTTTGGTGACGTGTTAGAGCCAGGAGAACCATTTCATTAGGCTAAAAAAGAGAAATCCTAATTGTAAATTAATTACACCCGTGCATGACATCCCTGCTGTTTCTGTGGTTAAAAGAACGCTCGGTTTGGTTAGGGTAGCTGCGGGTGTCCCTGTCGCCGGTGCACAGGCGGCTAAGCAAAGCTGCATGGCGTGAAGAAAATGCCCTGACGGAATGGAAGAGTTCTTAAGAGCACTCGGTTTCCTCTAATTTGACTTTTTTTTTAACCTGGGTGGGGTTTTATACTGAGAGGGAAGGCCTTGAGATAATCACAACATTGTCAGTTGGGTTCTAAAGAACACTTAGATGGAATGAAGAGACGAAATAGAACCCTCCCCATTCCAGATGTCCCAGTTAAGGCACCAGTTCTCCCTGAGCAGCCCACTGTGGGTCTGCACTGCTCCTCCAGAAGCGTCCGTCCCTTTTGTGCTGCCTAGTCAGACAGTGGAAACTCATCACCCGTGCCCTCAGTTCCCAAACTGTGACGTCCGTACTGGCCACGTTGGCGGCGTCAGCAGGAGCGTCACCTCCCCTGTCTAATTCTTCAGAAACACCAGGTTAAAAACCCAAGGCGTTTAACCTCATTGAGTAAAGGGAAAGTACACAACTATGCCCAAAAACTACACCTGGTAGTTGCTGGCCTAACCTACACGCTTTGAATTGCTAGTCTGTCTGGTAGATCTTGGGTTTATCTCCTCATCTCTGCACCCATCTTTTTTAACCTTTTTTCCCATCCCTTCCTTAGTGTGCTGTACTCCTTAGGAGTATGTGGCTCGACTGCTCTCTTCTGTGGAAATTACTCCTCGGAGGCGGTCTGAGAACAGCTCCATCCCCAGGAGTTTGCGGTCCGCACGCGCTCTGTCGCGGGACAGCGCCTTGCCCTTTGCAAGGCGTCGCAGAGCTGCTGCTGGTTCTCGCCCTGCTGCAGCCCAGCAGATAGAGCAGCTTTGCCGCTGGCCACTGGTGGATTTCTGACCGTTTTTAGGTGACACATTCGTGGGAAAAGCAATGCCCAGCTCAGTGTATCCCAGGGCTGAGCGCCCTCGAGAGGGAAGGGTCGCTTTCCATGCGTAGCAGATCAGCTGAGGTGGCTGCTTCCCCGAGAATTGCCGTGTGGCTCTTTTCACCAGCTTTACTCCAGGAGGCTGCTTTACGTAAGCTGCTGCCTCCCCTTAACCGAGAGAAGTCGTGCCCAAGCAGCGGCACGTTTCGGCTGGCCTGGCACCGGAAGGCAGCTGGTGTTTCGGATCCTTGGAGCCGTAGGCTCTACGGCTCGTTGGCAGCCGTCAGTCTAGTTGCTACACGGGGTGGCCATTCGTAAAGGCGCTTAAGAAGCAGAACCTAAATTTTCAGAGGTGGGAACCGAACTTCCTTTCCAAAGAAGTAAGCAAGATCGGATGAGCTCTGCTTTTATCCACATGTGCTGGGACTGGAGCAAACCCTGCGTAGCTTCCTGCAGCTCTTGCAGCCCTACGTGAAATCAGGTGGCGCTTCCCGCGGGTTGACGTGTTCGGTAACCTGTTAATAACCCCTCTCCTTCACGTGTTGGGTTCGCTGTGCAGGTGCCGTTGTTGGCAGTGCGCTGCTCACCTCGGTCGTTACGTTCCAGCACGTTCGGCACCGCGTGTGACCGCTCCGTGCGCCTGTGACCAGTACTGAGGAGAGGAGCGAGTAGAAGGGAGGCAGAGGAGTTGGTATTTTCAGGCTCAGACCATGAAAATCTGTGAGTGCATCACAGGTGGAGAATAGGGATGTTGTCGTGGGGTTGGGAGGGAGAAGCTTCCCCCAGCGTGTTGAGGTATTAAATGGGAATGTGATACTGAACTGCTGGGATGAGATTAAGGTGAAAAAGCAACTTACTGGGCCTCGGTTTTTTATGAGAGTTTCGGTTTTTCTGGGCGAAAGCTTGCTACTCTGGCAACCTCCCTCCTGTGGCTACTTAACAACTGCCGTGGGAAGAGTGGTTTGAAGTCAAGGACTGCCTTACTCAGAGAAGTATGATGTGCTTTAATGAAACTGCATTTGGTAGAAGATCAAAACAAACCTGTTTTCCTGAGCAAATTGCTTTTTTCAATTGGGCTCCATGCAGCATCAAACAAAACACCAGTACCTCCGTCACTGGAGACAGAAACGCATTCCCCTTCGTTCCAAAGGCGGCATCGTCGGAAGTTGTGTTTCCTGTATTCATTGTTTTGCTCGGAAACCAATTTACAGCCATCCCCACCAAACTTGTGTGCGAGGTGTAGCCTGAAGTTACTCCCTTGGAATGGGAAAAGCTTCCCGAGCTAAATGCCTGTTAATTCACAGAAATACGGTGTCCTTGAGGATGTGGTGGCTCCGGGGGGTTGCACAGTGCCGGTTGCTCCGGATCAGTTAGGAAGCCGTCGTGCGTGTGCTCTGGTTAGTGGGAGGCTGGCGGTTTCCAGCGCTGTGAGGTAACGGGTCCCTGTGACACGGATTAGAGATACAACAGGACGGGACAATCCCGTCGGTTGGATTCCGGTTCAGGAAAGTAGCCAAGGGAGCTGAATCGCTGGAGTACAGTCAGTGTAGAATCATGGAATGGTTTGGGTTGGAAGGGACCTTAAAGCCCATCCAGTTCCAACCCCCCTGCCATGGGCAGGGACACCTTCCACTAGACCAGGTTGCTCCAAGCCTCATCCAGCCTGGCCTTGGACACTCCCAGGGATGGTGTTCGGTCACCAGGCTTCCCTTTTATTTCGCCTTTTTCCCGTGCGGCCTCGGTGCCTCGGCAGCTCAGGAGGCTTGGGTTGCTCTGCGGCCAGGGCAAGCCTTTCTCCGGGGCGCTGGCTGGGGCACAGTTGATGTGGAGTTGACGGAGCAGCGTTCCTGTAGGTTTGCCGGCGTTCGAGCTGAGCGGTTCCCACACGGCGCCGCCTGCGGAGGAAAAGCGCTTGCCGTTATGGCTGGTCCTTGGTATGTGCTTGACGAGTTATTGCTGGTTCTGTTTCTGATAGGAAAGAGAAACTCTGCAGAAGCAACTGGACGAGGCAAACCGAGAAGCGCAAAAATACCGTCAGCAGCTTCTAAAGAAAGAGCAAGAAGCAGAGGCCTATCGGCAGAAGTTAGAGGCAATGACCCGCCTCCAGACTAACAAAGAAGCCGTTTAATAGAAAATGAACGTCCTGCAACGCCCGTTGCTTTCAGAGCCCGCCGTACAACCTTGAGCTGTGCGCTGGATGGCTGCGACACCGGATGACGTGACGGAGAAGATGCCACGAGTCGATGCCTGGACTTAAGCCGTGAGCTCCGAGGACTTCTTGTAACATAAAAACTCTGACTTTAGAAATTGTGAAAAGTATTTAAAATGAAATACTGTAAATAGTTGTTTTTTTTACAGTTTCAAAATGAGTTGATAAATCTTTTTGAAGGGATCCAGAAACATGAGAAGCCAATGTTTTTGTGAAATTTTTGATTTTAGTATGAATCTAACTTCCGAAAAACAGAACAGTTTTAAGGGTGATGTTGATTTAAGCTGACCGTTTGAAAATGAATCACGTGACAAAATTAATTCACAGTTATTTCCACGTGGCAACAACTTAAACTTCTCCAAATAAGATGTTTCCAGGTGGAAATCTCGGTACAGCTTTAAGTAGCTGTCTCAGAGTCTCGGAAAACCATTTTTGGTTGGTTTTGGGGTTTGTTTTTTCTTTTTTTTTTTTTTTAATTTTAGGTGGTGAGTTTTTATATTTAATTTCCGATGTATCCAAGTAGATTTACGTGTATATGGGCGAATCTTTTTGAAACTCCTCGGTTTGTACATAGGCCGCATGTCCCCTGCGTTTCTGCACGTCCACCTGTGTGGGTATTTGTCAGCAAAGACGAGGAAGGTGCCGAGGGAAGCGTTTTGCCTCGGGGTGGTTTGACGTGAGCCAGCAGCCCGTTTTGGCCTGGGTGGTATATTTCTTGGAAGAATGTAATTTCTAATTAAAAAGAAAAATCATTTCCCCTGCCAGAGGCAGTTTAAAACGGGGTCGTGGGGGCAGCGAAGACGCACTTCGCGCACGACGACGTCCCCGCGCAAGCGCCGTGAAGTTCGGCGGCGAATAGGAACGAGTGTCTCCTCTAGGACACGAATTGGAGTTCTTTTAGAATACTCCTGCCGATCTCTTTTCCCCCAGTATCCCTGAAATTACTTCAGCGCTACGTTTTTTGTCTAAACGGGCTTTTGCATTCTGATTATGCCATGGGACAAGTCATTTTTTTACGTTGCGGCGATGCTCCTCTTACCCGGCATCGTCGTTCTTCGCTGTGCCGCCGTGTCGCTCTGCGTCCGTGCCGCGATCCGTTACCTGCAGCACGTCAACACCTTCGGAGCGTTGGGAAAGCTTTCCGAGCCCCCCTGACGCACCGCCTGGGGCAGGTGGGTGAGCGCCACGGTCTCAGGTTTATAACCCCGCGGGGGGTGTTAAGCGACTGGCCCAAGGCCACGTGGATCGGTGGCGGGCCCGGGCCTAGGTCTGGGGAGTTCCTGGCTTCTAGTCCCGTGCGTCGCCTGAGCTGCCTTAAGATTGTTCAGCGCTGTGTTATGTTCTGTTTTGAACTGCTCTGCAGATTCCTCGTTTGTAAGCTAAACCTCGTTGTGCTTTGCTTTGTTGTTCCACGTTCCACTGCTTTTATGGAATCGTTTATATAAGAACTTAACGCAGAAAGTCTGCTTTACCTATACTGTACACGGAAGAATTACCCTTAAAACTGTACTCTGGCCTACTTTTTCTATTTTACGATTAAATATCTTTTCCACATACGGATTCCATTTCGGTTGTTTTGTGTGGGCGGTTGGCGCTGGGGGCCGCGTTAGGCCTTGAGGAAGACGTGGAAGAAGGGGGTTGAGGCTTAGCGTGGGCCTCGGTGGGAGGAGTGGGGAAAGCATCGCGTTGTACAGCGTGACGTGGGATCTTCCTTCTGCAGACTTGGGCTCAGGTTTGTGGAGTTGGTTAGGAGCAAATCCGAAGTATCTAGTATTGGTACAGATTTGGTGAATTTGAACCCCAAGAATCAGTAAGAAGGGGAAAACCCGCGGTGGCGGTTCTTAGAAGGATCGTTTTCCAGGGCGTAAGTTCTCCGGCGATCCGAGGGTTTGAAGCAAACCTTACGCAGTGACTGACTGGAAATTGCTACATTCCGGGTGGGTTTTTTTTCCCCCTCAAAACTCTCCATTGTGTCAGTAGCGACCGCAGGAACCAGTGGAGCAGGGTAGGCGTTGCTCCGAGTGACTCTGCGACCAGCGTTGTGTGTCCTCGCGTCCCGCGGACTTAACTACGCTTCCATCTCCGTCAGCTCTCGCAGCGATAAGAGTTTCGCCGTTAGCCGGGGGAGCGATAGCCGCAATCGCGTCCAGGCGGAGAGTTTCCCACGGCTCTGACGGCACAGACCTCCGTGGCAAACAATGAAAAGAGCCTTTTCTATTCATTCTGCTTCCTGTGAGCAAATACTCGACCCCTCGTGGCCTGTAACAAAATCCTTCCAAGCGCAGGGTCGCTGTGACACACGTGTGTTTATCGCCAGCGGTATTTACCCTCCCGGCAAGTCATTACCCCCGGCTTTATCCCAGTGCCGAACGGGACCTGCTGTTCCCGCCCGGAGCGAGGAACCAAGCTGGTGAAGGGATCACCGTGGAGCACAGGCGTAGTGGTGGGGGGTGTCACGTGGGATGTGGGTTGTGTAGCCGAGCTCTGAAAGCCCTGGGGAAAGCGTTGCTCCGGGCCTGTCGTTCCAAGCGGGAACCGTCGATGTCGTTAGCTACCCGCTTGCTTCCAGCCGCTGTCCCTGCGGGAAGTACGAGCTGCTTGTGACGGGGGAGAAGGGCAGGTTTGGGGGAACGCCGAGCTCTTTTGGAGTTGGTCCCGTGCCTCGCGCCGGCCCCTTCTCGCCTGCTTACGGTGACCCTGGCGAGAGAGGTTCAGCCACTCGGTGTGTGGGCAGCTCACTACGTTTTCCCTAGTGTTCCCGGCAAGGGGTGAGGTGAAGCAAACACGCGTGTACTGCGGGGTGTTTTTCTGCACTTCTTGCACTTTTCAGTGTCTTTTTTAATCGACTTCTAAACAATTTCAGTATATTAATCTGATGCGCGTGTATCAGAGCATCTTTGCCCTATCTGCGCAACAGTTCCTCCGCCCGTATCTAATCGCAGCAGAACCTAGGGAAGGTCTGCGCGCCGTCGCCGTGGAGAAAGGCTCCGCTTCCCAGAATAACGGAAGCGCCGGGGCTGCCTTGCGGC